TCGCCAACCCGCATAGAGCAAGTATGGTGATTAATATCATACCTCATACCTTCTCCGTGTGAGAAGAGGCGTTTGGTCAGCAGTGGGCAGTTACAGGCTGTTCATGTGATGTTTAGTTTCAAATTGTTAAGTTGTAGGTACGATTGATAAGAGAACAGTGGCATTGTTCTTCTGAGATAGTGGTATTTCAGGGCATTGGTATTCTAGTGTGTTCCGAAAAGATATCATTTAAAAAATGTATAAATAAAACTATTTTTTATATTTAGCTTGATGTATTCTAGATATAGCCTTAACTGTTTGACCCTTAAGAGTCTCTCGCCTCACCCAAGGCGTAAGAAGTCATTGGCTCATTTTCCCCCTCAAACAAAGAGGGTGTTGTTCGTTATTTACAAGCTGAGCAGATGACTTAGATCGCAGTAAGGCCACCGAAAATTTCAGAGAATGCTGCTTTTCACCCTAAGACTATAGGACCTGCAAATTTTATTCTGCCTGGGTATCATTCTAGATTATTCTACTAAGCTTCCGACCAGTCAAACCAACAAGGCATTCTTGCATAACAATCCAAATACTTCTAAGCCGCCTTGGGCTCTTTCCCATCGATAGTATCATCAAACATAAATAACACTACACCTGTCCGTGTACAATACCAGATTACATTAAGAAATCTAAAGTAAAAGTAGTTTTTAGGATCATTGATGCGCCCACGCATCGCCCACGGCCGCCCGCCGAGCCGTTGACCAACGCTGGCCAAAAACTGCTCCTACGTCCATTACTGTTTAATGTCGCTTTCAAAATCATTTTTTCTATAGTATTGAATAGGGTTCCGTGGGAATACGATAAAATATCGATACATATTATTCTAAATTACGTAAAGTTGTTCAAAAATCGTAATGGATTCTGATTTTTGTCTTCTGATAAATCTGAACAATTAAAACTGCTATCTTTAACCTGCCTGGCAAGCGTGAAAATTATGGCAAATCCATCTCTTGTGTAGAGCAGGCTCATTGGCTGATATTCCAGTACAGCATTATCACGAGTATGTATGTAGATACTACCGACTGCCTCGTTGGCCGAGTAGTCGAAAGTGCAAATGCCAGGCATGGGGTATCGGGTTCGATTCCCGGGTCGAGCAAAATAATACCGAGTTTTAAAAAAAAATCTTAGTAGGTTACTGTTTACTCGTGTTACTGCACAGAGCCTGGAATTGTGCCCGGTATACCTTTACCCCCTCTTACATAGGACTCATAACATAAATAGTGAAAAGTGGATGTTACATTGTACTGCATTAAGTGCCGTAATGTGCACCTCCGCCTTCTTCGGGGATAAAAGGTGTGATGTTATGATATGTAGTCTAGGAATGTCTGGGAATAGTTATGATGCAAAACTGGGACAAATGGTGGTGACTTTATTACAGTTTTCCATTTTCGCACCTTTTTTATCTCCACATAACAAATGGGTGTTATTTTATAGCTTGTTCGCAACATTTTATAGTTCTTAATATTATTCATAGTAGGCAGAATACCTTTATTTTTTGAGTTTATGGTCTGTAAAGTGCTACCTACTTAGATTAGCAAGTTTTTATTGAAAACACCTTTTATATGAATACTATTTCTAAATATACTTTTGCTATAAAATTAATATTGTTTTTATGTAATTTTAATACGTGTTTTTCTAAGATAAATTATGTTAATTATTAATTCATTATCATGGGAATTGGTCAGCGTTAATTGACTTTTATCATAGCAATTTAATCAGATTTTAAATTATGTTGTTTAACCATAAAATTGACTAATTAAATAAATTATTGAAATGCCCTTCGTTCAGTTTTTGGCACCTTAAACTGTCAAACACCAAGCGGTCACCGGTGACCGCAACCTATTGTTCTAATTGTGTCTATAATGACGGTACTCGACGAGTTAATACGGTTATACAAATCACAGCTTACACACAACAAAATCATTAAAGTTTTAGACTCAAATAGTTCTTAGATGGTCAATAATGCCCTGAACTGTTTCGAGTAAAGAATATCACGTGCCTTACCCTTATTTTGTTCGACTTGATAACGGACTGCTGTGCAGAGTCTAGACGTATAATTTACAAAAGATTAACATTAATATTATGTACAACATAAATGTATTGATAAAGAATTAAAAAAATATTTTAAAAATATTCTCACGGTTTCAATGATGTCACATTTAGAATCAAAAGTCTATCTTGTTCTTTATTTTTAGTATATTTGACCCGGATTTTAAAATTGTATATTTGACATACACCTGTAAGATTACAGATTGCAGGTTGCTAGATAGCAACAGTGCTCGACAAAAGACAAAAATATTGATCAAAATATTTTACTCTTTCATTCTAGAAATAAGTAAGTACTGAAATGCCACATCTTTTTATATTAACGTTAACTTTCAAGTGTATTTCGAGTAAAATAACAACCAGTTCGATCTCCATACGTTTTAAGTGTGAGAGAGCCATGCTTCGGCACGAATGCACCCAATCTCCCCAATCCCTGAATCCCCAACGATCCTCAAACTCCTAATCCCCAAAAGGCCGGTAACGCACTTGTAATGCCTTTGGTGTTCCAGGTGTCCATGGGCGACGCCGATTGCTTACCATCAAGTGATACGTCTGCTCGTTTACCGGTTTATGCCATAAAAAAAATACCAAAATCAAAGTACCTACTGTACTTTATGTGTGAAAACGTAAAAGAGACGAACGACGAGAGATAGTGTTATAAATTTCACATTTTTTGTACATAGTAAAGGAATATGTTATTTTAACTTGGACCCTTTACTGCCATTATCAATGGTCTATTTCCGCGAATATTTTATTGTAATACTAAGTTAGTAATGTATGCCAATATCGTGCTACCAACACCGTTAAACCTGTAAACTAGTGCGTAGTTTTCATAATTGCCACAGTTTTTGCTGCGACCATTTAATAGTATGGAACACATAAATACTAAGGCAGGGTATCATTACGCTTGCACGTTCCAATACTTTACCGACTACTTTGATGTGTGGCCTAAGTTATAAAGTTCAGCGAGATCAGATTACAAAGTTGAATGTGATGCACAAAACAACTGTGCAACTGTCAATACCGGGGCCGCATATAGCATGCATTTAGCAGATTAAAGAAGAAAAGAGAAATCAATAAATAATATAATTCATATGATTTTTTTATGGCATAAGCCGGTAAACGAGCAGACGGATCACCTGATGGTAAGCAATCGGCATCGCCCATGGACACCTGGAACACCAGAGGCGTTAAAAGTGCGTTACCGGCTTTTGGGGGATTAGGAGTTTGAGGATTGGGGAGATTGGGGCAGGGGAGGGTAATGAAATGTTCTGTGTGAATAGTATTTGGAAGTAATTATCGGCTACTCGTCTCTATATAAAATCCCTTTAGATAATCCCGCACATTTAAAAAATATAACCAATTTTGAATTTTGCCGTCTAATCACATAATTATAGACCTTCAATAACTTCAATGATCCACATTCATGGATTTGAACAAACTCATTTTTTCTGGAAACCTCTATTCCGCTTAGTATTTGCGCCACACAAACCCAGAGGCTGCACGCAACCAGCCGGCGTAGAGCCTCCAAGTATGAGGAACGGCATTCGTTGCGAAAATTTACAACCGCAGTGATGCAACGCATCAATAGCTGGATGATATGCTGTGGAAAGTGTTCAGAATATCAGGATATGTTGAAGAAACATAGCCACGATTTTTCATCTTGTGTTTTAAAAGGATAAAATGTTAAACCTAGTTTATTATATTACTCCAATTGAAAACTGACTGCCTCCTTGGCCGAGTGATAGCAAGTGCGACTGCTGGACAAGGGTGTATCGGGTTCGATTCCCGGGTTGGGCAAAGTATTACGGGGTTTTTTAAGAAAATTCAGTAGTAGCACGGGGTCTGGAATTGTGCCCGGTATATTGCAAAAGGCTCACCCCCTATTACATGGGACTCATAACTTAAAAAGTGAAAAGTGTGTGCTACGTTGTATAATAGCATTAAGTGCCGTAATGAGCACCTCTGCCTACCCCTTCGGGGATAAAAGGCGTGATGTTATATTATGTCTAAAGACTACCTATACATATATAAGTAGGTATATCACGATTTATACTGCTGTAGGTAGGAGGAGATTACTTTGGAGATCATGTAGAAAACTGCTTAATGGCGCCATTATTTTGGAGGATGTGTCCTCGGAAAATAACGTAGCATTACATTAAGTCCTATTTTTATGACAAACTCAATAACTGTTTCAAGTCTAGGAAGGAACAAAAACTGTTACTTTAACAACTACTATTACACCTTCAGCCTTGAACGATTAATTTATATTTAATGAATGTTATGAATGACGGGGTCACTGAACCGTAGTGGTCATTTACTAAGGGTGTTTCACGATCAATATAATCGCGTGTCCACAAAGGGGACGATGAATTTGGTTACCATACTGTACTTATTTAAATGCATATTAAAGCAGATTTAACTGGTAGTCAAGTTTAGTGAGTCATACTATTTTTACTACCTGTGATTATTTATTTCAAATACATCACGATTTAATTTTAATGTATTATAGAAAATAAAAATAAATGAAGTATGTAGAACAAAACGTAATCAGAATTGGTACAACAACAGCACAACATAAAACAATAAAACCTTTTTTCATTAACCGCGTAAAAATTTGAATTATGAATTAGAAAAAAAAAATCATTTCATTGATTGTCAATATTGTTTGTCATTACTCGAAGAGTCTTAATTTTGAATTTGAATTAATCAATTTGGGGTCAAGTCGAAATAAGAGCAATTAATTAATCTGTAATTTTAATTTTACACAGTTTTCGTAACAAACCATTGACAAAAGACTAATTTAAAAAAAGAAGACACCAAAAAACCGCGAACGAATCTTGTTTTTTTAAAAAAGTGTATAATACCATAAATTAAATCTTATTTTTCTTTACTTACAAAAAGTTATTAAATTCCAGGTGCCCGAATGAGTGTAATATAAAGTGTCAGTGAAGTGTTAAAGTGCAAGTGATGTTTAGTATGAGGTGATAGAACAATAAATGAGTAATAATGTATCGACCGAATTTTTATGAAAGTACGTGCTTTCGTTGCAACGAGATTGTGTATCAGGTGGATAGGGTCGGTCCGTTGAAGGATTTCACCTTTTTCCATAGTGGCTGCTTCAAATGTGCCGTCTGCGGGACCAAGTTGACTTTGAAGGTGAGTTTTTAATTATAACTTCATAATTAAGTACGTATATTTTCCTCACCTTTTTTAAAACAATTTTACATGATTGTTTTATGATTTATTTTTGTATATTATATAGATTTTATGCCATTGTTAAACACCACATCTGAGGATACCATAAAAACCCTTTGGTATTTTTCGTTCCATTCTTGTATTTTTGTTTGTGTGATCTTCTGTAATTGATACGGGCATGGACAGTACCCACTAGTTGGCAAAACGCCAGGATTGCGGCTGGTTAGCCAATGTAAACGAGGCTAGGCGACTTACCAATTACACCACAGTATACTGTTCCTTCTCTACTACTCTCACATCATCACGGTGAACCATCAGAGATTGTACTACGTACTCTCACCAGGAACAACTACAATGACACTATTTTATAAACATAACAAAAATGATGCAAAAGCTTTTACGAAAATAGCTTGATAAATAAAACGGACAATGAAACCAGTTTCTCATGTTTACATATTGATAAACAGAGTGGCTATTTCCTAGTCTCTGCCCGGCCTTGTAATGCGGCATCTTCACGACCTTCAGAAATCACTAGTTGGCATTTATCCGACCTCTAGCATCTTAAAACTTTTTGCTAGAATTTTTATAAAATCCGACTACTATAAAAAGATGTTCGTAATATCCATTCTTTTATTTAAATTAATTAGTTAATATAAAGTACTGTTTCTTTTGTCTTGCATTTGTAAATATGACTAAGACAGGTCCTGGTTCAGATTAATTGCTGCTTATTGTGTCACAGGTTATGACAGGTTCGGTTCCTCCAAGTACACGGTGCATCACCAAATTACCTACTAGTGTTACAGGAACTTAGAGCCAGTTAATAACAATTCTTACAAATGTATATGAAATTGATCCAATTCATGTATATAATTTGGATCCAATTTGATCTCATGTCGGGATCTCAGGGGTCGGTAAAATACAGAGTGAGGATCGTAGTAATGATCCTTATTATGGCTTACTAGCTACTTCCGCGCGGTTTCACACGCTCTGCTCACCTCCAATAGGAGCTGACCAATAGGTCGGACCGTGATGTTTTATAGCCATCCTCGATAAATGCGCTATCCAACACAAAAATAATTATTCAAATCAGACTTGTAGTTACGGAGATTAGCGCGTTCAAACAAACAAACAAAAAAACAAACTCTTCCGCTTTATATAACAGTAAGTATGCATAAGAGTATAAGATAAGATTTCATAGACACTTCTTAAAGTTCCATCAGTTCCGCTCCTAACTATGTTCTAGAATCTCTCCAAATAAATAGAATGAATATTTAAGAGAGTTAGCAGAAAAATGTGCATTGAAGTCATGAGTTCCACGGACATTCTTTATTTAAACCGTTTTGCGTTTAATTGTGTATTTAAAAGTATTAGCGGTACATTGAGGAATGTCTCAGTAAATACTTGCATTTAAAATTAAAATGTAAATAAGAACGGGAAGTGTAGACGGAGAGGTGCTGTTTTCGTTAACAGTCTCTTGGTCAAATGGCAAAGTGTGCCTAATATGTGGCGTGCTTCAAAATTTTCGAGAAAAAAAGACGTCGTAATCATATTAGCGTCTCCAATGACTTCCAGGCTTGTGAGACTGGACGATCTGATAAACGTGTAAGGAAGCCGCTAGATGTAGGTTGCTTCCAAATAGCCAACCTCGAAGTCACTAGGAGGGGGAGGTGACGACTGGTAAACATGATGATAATGATGATACTCGTAACTATAAATCGCTGAACATAAATTATAATTAACTAAAAATCGCAGGTTACTCACGTGAAAATACTGAGAAAAGCTCTACTAGTTTCGAACCATAGAGGGGTTCTTATAGCCTAGAGAGCCTACTGATAGTGTAGGCTGCCCGACATCGCCGCGACAGCGCACGCTGTTATTTATTATAAAAACATAACAATAATAATATAAAGTTTACAATATCAATTAAAATCTTCCACCTTTTTTCTGAAGTTGGGTAACAATTAAAATTCTAACATATATTATTATCAAACAAGTACTTCATTAAAGAACCGAGGTCAAGGCGCACGACAAAGTTCATAAAGAATACAATATAATTATTTGCACGCACATTACACAGTTATTAAATGTAAGTAAATAGCTGCCGTAATATGAGTCATTATGTGTGATCTGATGTTGTGTCATATGACCTTATTCTGTTTGTTTAACACCAGGCTTGATGAAAAATATATACAATACACTGTTTCCATTCAGAATTTTTATCGCATAGGTACTAGCTATGACTCTAGCTATCGAATGCACGGTTGGTGCGGTGGTTGGGCAACCGGCTGCCGTGCAACGTGTCGCGGATGCGATTCCAGCACGGAACAACACTTTGTGTGATCCACAAATTGTTGTTCCGGGTCTGGGTGTCATTGTGTATGTGAACTTGTACGTTTCTTAACTCACTCACGACACAGGAGAAAAGACTAATGTCCCCCGGCAAACTTCGTTGCGGCTAAAAATTGGTCTCTCACTTTTTAAACTTTCCCTTTACTTCCATGAACATTTGAAAATTGTCCAAATCGGTTCAGCCGTTTTTGAGTTTTGGCGAGACTAACAATCGGAAATTGATTTTTATTTATATAGATAGATGTATTGCGTGGGAGAGCCGTGCTTCGGCTCAAATGGGCCAGTTTAACTTACTACAGAAAACCACTACTACACGACCTTAGAGAAAACCTGCGTGAAACAACGCTTGCGTTATGTTCCCCTGTGTGAGTGGGGTTACCAAAGTCCCGTTCTCCCAAACGATGGGAAAGCACTTGGAACTTCTCTGATGCTCCAGATGTCAATAGGCGGCGACATCCATCAGCGCATCTGCCTCTCTAACCCATAATAAACACATAAAAGGTCTATGTTAACGACGGCAACCTGCAAACCCATCCATTGACCAACCGCACCTAGTGTAGCTTAACCTAAAAGAGAGTGATACGTGCTCTATACACATAACACGTATTACATGAATGAATGACGTCCATTACAACTTCCTCTGTCGAATATAAAATATTAATGTAACATTATACCCTTTTATTATTAGTACTCGTATTTATTTGGTATCATGCAGAAATAATTTCATTTCAGATATTATTAAAAATTGTTGATACTTTCATTCATTGTCTTGATAATATATTTTAATATTTAATCAATTTCCTTTGTATTCTTCTATGCATACTTCTATAAATAACCAGCCTAAATGCCATATAAAGTATACCAGTTAACGTACTTACACAAATTACATTATTTCGCGCTTGCTAGATGGCGCCACTGACACTTAGAGTCATGTTAGTCCAATCAACATAGCTGTCATAAGTTAATAGACTACCGATTTGACATGATTGACAACAAAGTATTCTATTCTTCTATAGAAATAAAGCTATACCAGCACGTCTTTTTTTAAGGTGTGATAATCATCGAATGACTGCTCCCGCCTGGGTGAGGCGGGAGGGAGTGTCAAACTCTTACTGACTAAAAACCACCCCGTTCCTTCTCCTGCACTTCGAGCCGGAGCCCCAGTAATCCGTAAGGTTCTCCGCGACTCCGATACCAGCACGTCTAGTACTACGAAATTCCTCGTTAAAAGACACTGAAAGTTAAACGCTAAAACTGCCATGACATAACGTCTATTATTCCTTGTAGATATCTAAAAATCCTTAAACCCTTGAAGACAAAGGTATAATATTTCAATTAGTGCTGAATTCAACGTCATTTAATTCAGTTACTCGTTCCTAACTGTTCAGTTAGCACAACAGTTTGATCTAAACGATAATTAACAGTTAACTGACGCACGCGGTTATGGGAAATGCATACACACCTCTATTTGTTAACGGAGTGTTTTGTGGGCCACTTGTCTGTATAGGATTCTCTCATTTTTATTTACGTAATTTAACTTTACTTAAAAATGGTTACTAGTATAATTATACAGGATATGGTGTTAAGTTTCAATCCTGAGTTAGGAGAAGTCTTGTTTAGCGTGAAAATCTGTCAATATTTTTATAAGGGGGGAAAATCATCGAATGCCTGCTCCCGCCTGGGTGAGGCGGGAAGGAGTGTCAGACTCTTACTGAATAAAAACCACCCCGTTCCTACTCCTGCACGTCGAGCCGGAGCCCCGGTAACCCGTTAGGTTCTCCGCGACTGAAAATCTGTCACTTGGAGATATAACTTGGCTGTAGCAGTATACAAAAATATTTGCCTACTCCTTCGAAAACAAAAACTAGGATAACGTTATATAGGCGGTGTTATAAGAATAGATGTTATTTTTGCTTAACCTTCTGAATGCACCGATATGAAACACAGTAGAAAATACATTGTGACCGCGTTTTAGACACACGAAACATTCTTCTTAGTCGATTCCCTCACTGCTGAGAATCGTGACTCCCTCTGATTCTGCTCACTAGATGTCGCCATTTATCTCGTTCCGTTGCTTGGTGCATTGGAACATTCATAGGTATCTCCAGCTCCTTGGATATTTGGTCAGACCACCATATGAGACTCCGGCCTCTCGTTCTCTTTCCTTCTACCTTACCAGTCACTATGAGGCGTTCCAGACTGCCAGCATCTCTGCAAGCAATATGCTCATATAATACAATAGCAATAAGTATCGTACAATCCTTTGCAAGCAAACTGTGGACAAGCAAACGAAACATAGAAGAATCAAAAAATAAAGTAGGTACTTACTTACAATTTTGAAGTTAGTGTTGACTCAAACACTAATAAAAGGCATCGATACAAACGCAAACATAAAACTGGAAAAATATATATTAGACATGACAATACAGAAACCCATTCAATGAATAATCCAATAAAAACATTCACTTTGTCACAAATTAACTGTCCATATCGTTTTCCATTCATAAAACACCAACATAGTATGACCCATTGATCCATTTCACGGTCTTAAATATCGAGGGTCACGTTAGACTGGTTACCAGCCATTGTGTTGGCTATAATTTGTGTAAAATGAATCAGTTTGACCAATAAAAGAGTAAAAAGTGACGTAACTTTACTGTTGTTCATATGAATCATGGTTTTAAACGAGGGCTTTGTGAAATTAAACTCTATTTTAATATTGTTATGCCGCGTTTTGGATCACTGCAGAGGAGAATACATTGACGCTGGAAACCACAAATGTTGTAAGGAGTCGCGGAGAACCTAACGGGTAACCGGGGCTCCGACTCGACGTGCAGGAGAAGGAACGGGGTGGTTTTTAGTCAGTAAGAGTCTGACACTCCCTCCCGCCTCACCCAGGCGGGAGCAGTCATTCGATGATTTTCCCCCCTTAAAAAAAAAATGTTGTAAGGAACAAACCACGACTTTACAGGCAGGATAGGAACGAACGAAATTGGACTCTGCAAATCCTAGCCATTTTTTTTATTATTGCAACTATTTTGATGTTTTTTAGAAATTAAAATCATGGTATGTATGGAAATTAAGGATCACAGAAAACCGACGTGAAGCACCGCTTGTGTTGTGTTTCGTCGTGTGAGTGCTGCCGGAGGCCCAGCTAACCTCCCCCTTCCCCAATCTCCCCAATCCCCGAATCCCCAACAATCCTCAAACTCCTAATCCCCAAAAGGCGGTAACGCGCTTGTAACGCTTCTGGTGTTCCAGGTGTCCATGGGCGACGCCGGTTGCTTCCCATCAGGTGATCCGTTTGCTCGTTTACCGGCTTATGCCATATAAAACCGCCTCTTATGTGGAGGCCCATAGTCCAACTGTCACGCGCTGTTGACCTTTTAAAGAATTAACAACTAGCCTTAATAACATAACATCATC